CCTTTTGGCCCCCCCCCCCCCCCCCCACACACACACTTAACAGTTACCTCTTTATGTAACCCTGTGTTCTCGGCTTCCTTTAAAATAATTCAACAAAGATCTGAAGTTAATGTATTAACATCACATTGAATATCATTAATAATCTCTAATTTATATTTCAGGTTATGCAACGCCGCTTGGTCAAACGATTCAATGTGTGGTTGTAAACAATTAGTGTCCCAACTAGAGACCTTAATTCTCTGACACACCGCTTGTTTTTGTTCGCATTTTCCCTGAACGTTTGACCAAGATGCGTTTAATTTAACATTTATGGCACAGGGTGTATTGGATAAATATTTGTCAAGGTTACCAATACAGAAATCAAAAAGAAGTGGCAGTAACTCTGCTGATATGATTACATAGTCAATAGTGCTCTTACCATTATTTTTATTGTAACATGTAAAATCACCAACGCCAGTGTCACTGCCATATCTTCCATTTACTATATGGTTAAGCTCAATATTCTACATAGTTCCACAAGTTTTAACCCATTGTTATTCGTTCGTTTGTCTCGATTACATCTTTGCGGTAGGTCAGTAGTGTGTAAATTATCAAAAACATCCATGTCAATATTGTCTATGCCAATAGATCGAATAATATCAGATTCTATGACAATTCACCTGTTCGCGAGTTAAAGTCACCGATTAACAGTACAGGTATATCATACACAGTTTGCACCTTGTTATATCAATTGTCAAATTATTAAAGAAATCAAAGATGTGGTTAACAGAGCCTTCGTAAGGAATGTACACCGATCCCAATATAAGTTGATCGTATAATTTTAACCATAAAACAGATTCCGATGAGAAGTCATTTAAAACTTCAACGTTTTGTTTAAGCTTATTTCGAGCTAGTATACGTCATATACCATGGATATCGCCATAGGTATGGTCTTTATTTTTTGGTTCCAAACAATACGGAGTAAACCCGACTAAATCACTTACATGTATGTGTCTGTCTAATCTTTTACCGGTATCAGGATTTCGGCGATAAAGGGAATTGTTTATATACAATTTATCAAGCCTCATCTGTGCTTGTCACATATCTTGCATGGCAGTTTCCAATGACAGAAATCTAGATTCTATAGTGTATAGTCTATTGTTAATTTGATCTAGAACATCAAGTTTTTGAAGTTTTGCGTAAATATCGGAAATCACAGATTCCATTGACCAATTTTGGGAGGGATAGTTGGTAGGTTGTGAAAGTAATATCTGACCAGAACTAGTGGGACTATACGCCGACGGGTTATAAACTTGATGTTGATGTTGATGTTGAATATCAATAACACACCTGTTCTATTTTTAGAAACTAATTGAGGTCAATACAGGTTATATACGTATGTTGGCAGACGAGGACACTATCAAAATATCTATAATTATATCAGAAATGCACCAGTCCAGTTTGCACATATACAGACGATCTAGAATGGTTTAAAAGATGTGCTGGAAATTGAACTTATTGCATAATATATTTTTCGATTTGCAGGAAAATGTTGAAACTGTGCAGTGCGTATGTGCATTACTTAGCCTACTTACTTACTTACTTACTCATCAAATTTGGTATGTATGCGTCTAATCAAATTCTGAATTTGATGGAAATATCACATTTTTGTAGTCCGCATGTGTATTACCAACTTCCTTACTTCTTGTCCAAATCTCATAGAATTTGGTATGTGTGTGTACAATTAACTTCTGAATTGGTGGAAATGTTGAATCTGCGTAGGGCACATGCGCATTACCAACTTTCTTATTTCTTGTCCGAATTTCATCAAATTAAGCATGTATGTGCATAATCAAATTTTGAATTTAATGGAAATATTAGACTTTCGTAGTGCGCATGCGCATAACCAACTTTCTTATTTTTTATCCAAATTTCATCAAACTTGGTATGTATTGTGAAATCAAATTATAAATTTGATGGAAATATTGAATTTGTGTAGTGCGCATGCGCAATATCTGGTAAATAAACCAAGTATATAATTAACAATCCAGAAATGTCACCTCACAATCCAACTACCAACTTCTACCTAGTTTGCGATATCAGCATCCGCTGGAAGCGAACGTTAACTTGTCACCTCAAAATTTTCCGTATGTAAAGAACAATATAGAAAAGTAACGTTACGCGAGTACGTTATATACAGTGGTGTAACCTATTTTCGTGCATATAAGGATTCAACACCGAATTTCGTCTGATGTAATAAACGCAATTTTTTTTTATGTCAAAATAATCAAAATTGGTTTGTTTCGATTTTCTTTATGAATCCCCCACTTTGGCCCATATTTCATGAGTAACCACCTCGACAACAGCGGCAAAATGCGTCACTTATGTACAATGTTCGATCTATAAATACGTTGAGAAAAACCCGCTGTATGGATACCCAGTGGTATAATTAACTTTTCTTAGTATTTATCTTTAATAATATATCAAAAAAATTTGACTGACAAAATTAGATAAGTAAAACGTAAGAGTGATTTATTGCTAAAAGTCATTGAAACTACATAAGAATATGGCCCACATTGTGTTTCATAGATTTTTCTGCTGACACGGAATCCGCTAGTTTGTCACGTGACGTCATTCGTTGGAATGATTATATTCGGCCGATAAGAAATTGTGATATTTGGTAATAACTGAAATCCGCCATTTTGTTTATTTCAAAGTATACCATTAATACATTTTACCTTGCTTGAAACTACTGGATTCATTCTGCTAGCTGACATTGTAGAAATAACCCATGTTTATCAAAACAAGTAAATGCGGAGGTCAAGCGAGGTCGCACATGTAAATTATTAATCATTTCAGAAGATGCACGCTACGCGGATTTATACAGTGTACACAGGTTTTTTTTCTGTTTATACATCGATTAACTGAAACTGTTAAGTCCGTGTAAAGTTTTTAATTTCTTAATCCAAATGGCTTCTTTAGTTTTTAGGTAAATATCTATGCCAAATATTATAATATGCATAGCCTAAGCCTAATCCGACAATATTGCGCTTCTTTTATTTGTATTTGTCTATACTCAAGAGGTTGAACAATTTGATACATGTATACCATAGTCATTTATTATCATCCTCAAGATTTGATTCATAAGAATTAATACCCACTGTATCAAGGATGTTATTGAACTTTTCAAACATTAGAACAAATAAAACAGTAGCAAACAAATTAATCCACGCCCTTCCGCTGAAAATCTAAAAGTCACTACAATAGAAAGAGTATTTGGCACAGACATTTCCCTTTGGGCTAAGGAATTAAAAACTTGAGAACATTTACACAGACTTAACACCACTATAATATATATTGTTAAAAGAAAGAACAAGACTAAAAAAAGTGGGCGTATTGGCACTGCCGTTTATTAATTCACAATGCTAATAAGGCGTGGAAAATGAGAACGTTGAGCTCATTTCATCTATAAATAGGAATTGTTCTTTCAGAAATAGAGTCAGCAAATAACAAATCTTTAACACCCATGTCGGTAACAGAAATGAAAAAAACCGAAAAAAATCCAACAACATCTGAATGTTCAACCGCAATGAAGGATAAAGATACTAGCTCAAAAAAAGCCAAAGTCAACTTTAAGAAAGCTGTTAGAGCTTTGAACAAATTTAAGATGGCAGTTCGTGTTGTTACTGCTACCAAGCGATTTAGGAGAGGTCCCTTGAATACTATATTAAGTATATCACAAGAAAAAGCCATGGAGGAAATGATCGAACGCCGAAAGAAGGAACAGAGTCACGCCCTGAGACATTTGCATTATACAGAGTGTGGAAAGGTTGCTACATTGAGCGCAGTAGATTCCAGAGCAAAAATCGAACTGGTGCGTAAAAATTCACGAAAGCTAAAAGAAGCCGAAAAGTCAAAAAACGAAGATATCGAGAAAATTGAAAATGCATTCAATTTCATGACACCAAAATCATTAGAAAAGCAATTGTAATTAGAATTAGAAATGGAGGCGTTGAGTTGGTAAAGTTTTAGATAGGTGATGAAGATCAAGTAGATTTTGCCGACTGTTCCTTCTTATTGGCACAATTGTTTCTTTTTATATTGTTCTATATTTATGTTCCTTGTATAATAATTTGTTAAAGATTACTATTAAATAAAAGCCATGAAGATATTTTGACCCACATTCAAATATAATACCCAAATTTAATTCAATTCTACCTAATGCTATTCAACAGAGTCCTCGGATTGATAAATAGTAGGATTCGCAATTAAATCTTTATCAGTTCGTGAAATTCTTAACTGATTCGCACAATAATCTTGAGCTATCGAGAATTCGTGGTAAAAGTGATGAGCTGTTCTAAGTTTTGGTCACGCACTCATAAATGTCGTAACAAATTTGTAATGCATTCTTAGGCATCGTAACTGAATTCAATTCAATTCGTAAACATTCGTATTTATTCTTAACGCATTCCAGAGCCAATAATACAAATGAAAGTAGGACATTCATTTTGATGCTGATGTCTACCAACTGTGGGCAATTATATAGCTATCTTGAGAAAACGACTAAAGAATTGTCAGACAAGTCAAGAATATGTTTTTATTCGTACCTAATTCGCACATGCACTCGGCATATTCTTAGCTGATTCGTAACCGATTCCTAACTCCTCAATTTTCGTCTGGCAAGATATAACACAAACTGGCCAGCCGCAGCACTGAACAAAAAATACCCTCTATTATATAGATGATGAATAATTATCTACGACTAAGTCTGACCGGTTCCATAGCTTAAACATATTTTATTGTTTGAAACAACAGGATAAGGACAAATTATAAAATTTATGAACCTTCTCCTAGTGAATTATTCACAAATATACAATTAGAATTTTTAAAAATGAAAGAATCAATAACTATAATTAAATAATTGAACATGTGAAATGTTTTATACTATTTATTATTTTTTAAAGCGGTGGGAAGTAGTACTAGTGTTTACAGATATCCTGCAACCACTCCACTTCACTCCGTAGTTGCAGGATATCTGTAAACACCCTGGCAGGCGAGCAACTATCCCCATACCCCTATAAATCGCCAGGCGAACACAACTTTATTATCATTAATTCAATGGGAAAACATAGCTTTAATGATTATAATTTAATGGGATATAAAATTAATTTTATGTATAATGAGAATTTTATGCGGAAATTTTCAGTTACTATATTGATTTTATGTTAAATGTTATACCTGAATATTCAAGAAATTTATTTCATAATGCGTAATAGTGTAGTATTGTGAATGAATTACATTTTACTTTGGTGAATATGGCAGAGGAAAAAATGGAAAAAAAAATTCATACAACTGCAGGTTTGTCGATTTACAAATCCACTCTTTGGGTATTGCTTATTACTAGAAGAGTCTCGTCATATCATAAATATAATGGATAGAAAGATCAGGGGAGAATTTATACCAGCAAGGGAATATATTAAATTCACTTGAGATTCTACTTCCTTCATATAATTCTGCCGTATCTTTTATTTTCAGTTCCAGAATACGATACAACTGAAGTAGATGCACATATAAAGCACCTTGAGGAACATTTGATTTCGGGGGGGGGGGGGGGGGGTAAATTGGTAAAAGAAGGGTACCAAAGTCATAAAGTTTACCACAAAGAACATTTTAGAAAACTTTCTAAAAAACCTAAAAATATTGTTTTCCAACAAAAACATTCCTCCTCTGACGATTTGTTTACAAAACATGTGAATATGTGTTGTGAACATTGTTATGGATATTAAAGAATTTGACAAATAAAATTAATAATAGTGAAAGTGTAAAAGACATTAACTGTGATAGATCTATAAAACAACATCATTCGCGTTCTATCAAATCCTTTGTTATGTTTGGACTTTGGTTGGAGAAACTTTATAAATTAAACCGTAGGAATTTCGCCTGTTTTGTAAAAGAAAATTTAAGAATTTCGTTAAGATGGAGCAGATAATTGCGAAAACTTGCCAAACTTCTTACACAAAACTTCAAAATTTGTCGATTCCAATTTCAAAATTAGTTGGAATGATTTCAAATATTAAGCATGGTTTAAGAAATAATCCAGATGAGGAAACATTTTGGAAATAAGGTGATTTAATTGCCATCACTGAATCAATATAAAACCAACAAACATGTGAAACCAACAACATTTTTATTCGTACCTAATTCGCACATGCACTCGGCATATTCTTAGCTGATTCGTAACCGATTCCTAACTTGCGTGCAGTATTCCCTTCCTCAATTTTCGTCTGGCAAGATATTAAACATGGTTTAAGAAATAATCAAGAGGAGGAAACATTTTGGAAATAAGGTGATTTAATTACCATCACTGAATCAATATAAAACCAACAAACATGTGAAACCAACAAAGTCACGATGATTTGTCATATTATAGGCTAGCACGTGCTGTGTAGTATGAGGCCAACGACTTCTATTATTAGAAATGGTCTTCTTAGGACCGTTTTGAAACATATATGGTAGAAGTTGTAACGTGACAATATTCTAGCTGCGAGCTAGTCTGTATTGATTTATCATTACTACTATTACTTTAAATTCAGTGTTCAACTGATTACTCATGTAATTATATGTCGTTGTTAACGTGAAGTACAAACTTCTATTTATAGAACGGTCCTAAGAAGGCCGTTTTGGTGAGAATGTATTCACTCAGGTGAATTTGACACCATGTTGAAAACCCTACTTTATCCAAAAGACTATAATTCATCATCGGGATGGATTGCAGATTTGGGAGATGGGGGAATTCAAAACAACTAAGAAGACATTGCGGGTGATGCCAACGAAGCAAGAGTTAGAACTGCTGTTAAAAATTAAATCAATGTCTCAAAATTTCAAAATAATAAAGGTAATAAAAAGGTTTTATACAATCAAACCACTATCCACTATTTGGTTTACTCGAACATAGAAAGGTTTACATTGGTCTTCCTTTCAAATTCCATCTTCAAAGAACAATAAATAATGATAGAATATTTTTTGGAGAAGACAATTCAAATGCTCAATTGAAAATAACAAATATTCAATTTTATGTTCCAGTAATAACCCCAACAATTGAAGTAGAAACAAGACTACTTAATAGTTTGACAAAAGATATTGATATAGCATTTTTAAGAAGAAACACGATTGGATCGATAACAATCACAGGAGAGAATTACACATGGCAAGTGACAAACACTACAAAACCAGTAAGATATTTAATACTTGGTTTCAAATCTCTTCCGGATTCACAAGAAAATAATAGTAACCGAAAATAACGAATTATATAGAAACTATAAAATTATGAATGAGTTATTTGGAAATGTACCTTAGTTTCAATATGTAGATTTTGTTTTAAATTATCCAATATTTTGCTTTGATCTCTCCGCCCACAAAGAAGATTTGTTTAAAACGGGTGTTCAGCTGTCCATATATATTGAAAAGACAGCAGGGGAAATGGTCGGCTATTGTTTATTACTAGAAGAGTCTCGCCATATCATAAATGTTATGGATTGAAAGATGAACAGAATTGAAGAAAAAATTACTTTAAAAAATGAAATCAGAAATTTTAGTCGGGAAAATATTAGAATCAATTAAAAGTGGCAAACTGAAAACAATTACTCATAACGGTATAAAGATACATATTTTAAAATCAATTATTGATAAATTAAAAAGTCATAAAATTAAGGACCACATCAATTTTGGTGAAATAGACAAACAAGTTAAAGAAGGTGGATTTCTGTTTCTCCTGCCTTTAATTTTCGGGGGGTTAGCGGCCGCAGAGCAGCCAGAGAAAAACGTAGAAATAACCTAGAAATGGAAAAATTAGCCAAAGGTTCGGGCATAAAAGATATCTTATCAACCATCAAACAATTCAACCATGAAACCAAGAAAACGGTAAAAGAAGGTTTGTCTAAATTAATTGATCAAATCGATACGGGTGAAACGAAGATTGAAAACAAAGAAGTAAAGGGAATAATATTTAAGGACATTCGCAGTTGTGATCTTCAAAATATCGAAAAGGAGACGGTGTTCTACTAAACCCCCAATAAAACTTAACTATTAAAAAATGGCTTCAAAATTCAAACATTCAGACAGATTTCCACAAAACCCAATGCTAACGTGCATCCTGGGGCAATCAGATTCAGGAAAGATCTACCTGTTATTTAACATGTTAACAACTCCAGATTTATTAGATGTCAATTCCTTATACATATATACATCAACTCCAGATCAATTCTATTATCAATATCTGAAAGCCTTAGAATATTTACCAAAACAAGATGTAGGCCAAATATATGAAAACGATGAAGAACTGCAAGAAAACAATGCGATTGAAGAATTTATAAATTATTGCATAAAAGAAAAGAATCCATCCGTCAATCTTGCTGATATTAAAGTTTTGCTCACTAAAAATGTGTATGATTTAGATTTGCCCCATATTGACAAGGAAAGAAAAAACCTAATCATTTTTGATGATTGTGTAGCACAAACAAATCAAAGAGTTCAACAATAATTCTTTACTAAAGGAATCATTTTCAATCATTTTATGGAATTGATGCAATGTTTATCAGAAAGAACGCCAATTGTTTTATTTTATTTGAATTAAACGATAATGATTTAAGTCAAATAATTCAATCGATAATTCCTGGTATGCAGAAAGATGAATTTAAAAAACTTTGTAAAAAACAATGGAACAATTCTGACGACCATAGTTATGTGTTTATTAATACAAGAAAACCAGCAGGACAAAAAGTTATGACAAATATTTGTGAGAAGTTAAATACTTGATATTAAAATATGTCTGGTGAAACGTCGAAAACTGATTGGAATAAAATATTTAAAAAAAATAAACAATATATGAAAACTAAAAATCAAATGAAATCTAAAATTGAAGATAAAAGATTATCACAGATGGGATTGGATAAAAACTTATCAACTTTATTTAGTCGTATATTAAAACAACAAGAAGAGATACAAAAGAAATTAGTAGACCCACCTGTTGGTGTTTCACATCCTCCCCTAGAAATAGAACATCCTCCTGCAAATCAATTTATCATATGGTCACATAACGATATAATACGTCATTTTTCAAACCCTAGCCCAGATTTACCAAAGAGTATTAAACCAATCGTTGATAATGAGGGGCTAATGTTTAATCGTTTTAGAATAAGATTTAATGAAAATGCACCACAAGTCAGAATCTTAACAAAACCCTTTATATACACATTAATAGAAGGATTAATAGATTTAATGAATGGTGAGAATCTTTTAAATGCCAATTACGGTGATATAATATTCAAGCATTCTACATATAACTAAAATGTCAGGACCCGAAACAAATAGATCGAAAGAAGGTGACCGACATATAAAAGCTATTAATGAAAACGATGAATATATATTCGATAATATGATGCCAAGAGATAGTAGTAGTAGAGAAAGTAGTATATCTAGTGGAGAAGGTATAACTTTTTTGTCCGATGATCCTGAACAATTACTCAACAGACTTAATATAATTATTGAAGCAATAAAACATGTACATCAATCTAATTTCAATGAAATCCGCGCCATTTTAAAAAAGATTATTAGAAAAAGGAATCATAGGTAAAGACGATTATAGAAATGTTTTGGAATTAAAAAATGTTTATTAAAATGGACGAAGAATTTTTTATAATAACATCTAAATCCTCGAAAATTAGATTAACCTTAAATTACGAATGTGAACTTGATTCAAATAAAAAATATAAACTAGAACTGTTATAACGGTACCGAAGCAGTGCGCATCCAACCTGATACATCGATAACACGTTGCATTTTGAAGTCACAATGAGATTTCTTACCGGAAAGAAAAGCATGTAAACATTCAATAGTAAAAAAATCGTTTAAACCGTTTAACGTTCGGTAGTGAAAAGACGCATGGATTTGATACCATTCGGTACTAAAAGGTGTTAACATTCGGTAGTAAAAAGTCGAATTTCAAGTAGCTGTAAAGTTAAAAAAGCAAATCGCACAACAATAAAGGAAATATTTATGGAAAGGTTTTGTCAGATACTATAACTTGTGTTACGGTCAAGAGGTCAACAAGGGTCAAATAAAAGAAATATAAGCCTTAAAAGTGTTGAAAATTCCTGTTTTGGGACGTCTGTAAAGGCGAAAATCTATGTCGGACATCAAAGATAAAAGTATCGTAGATCAATAACCTTTGACCTATTAAAGACCAAGGTCATGCTTGTAAATGGTCAAAATATCAAAATTTTATAAATTGTAAAACCTATTCCCTTTTTTAAAGTAAAAGGCCCAAACAAAATGTAACTCTATCAATTATTGTCCCAAATAGTGCTTTAATTTTATGTAAAATTTCGATGGTGACAAATACAAACTATAAGAGTTATAACAATTTGAATTATTTAAGGTAAAGGTAAAAGTAACCCGGATTTGCCATGCCCACTGCAAAAATATTGTGTTGTCTCTAATAATGTGAACAATGTCAAATAATGTTCAAAATTGCAAGTGTTTATAATCATTAGATCATGAGATATTCGTAGTTAAAAGTTTTTAAGGCAACGGTGACTGTCGGTGGATTATAGAAACCGTTACAATTACGCACAGTTGCTATAGAAGTCAATACAAAATTTTCAAATTCTAAAAAGCGCAATTTCAATCAAAATACCAAGTGATTGTGTGTAATAAGGGCATAAGAGAAAATTTCACGTATGTAAATTAGGTCACGTGACAGAGCTTTTTAAAGTTAAAAATCGCACTTTTCAATTGGCTGTAGAACCGGAAGTTAACGGTGCGCAACAAAAGTGAAAATATTATCGGATATATCTCGTAATGGGCAACAACTTTTGTTCAGATCAAAAGGTCAACAAAGGTTAAATAAAAGTAATATGAGCCTTTGAAGTTTCGAAAATTTCTCTTTTCGGACGTCTATGTTGCACATCAAAAATCAAAGTAAGAATGGTCATCTTAGATCAATGACCTTTGACCATGCAAAGGTCAAGGTCATTTACGTTAAAATTCAAAAATACAATTTTTTAAAATTGTTAAACCTATTCCCTTTTTTAAAGTAAAGATCGCCAACAACTGTAATCTTATCACAAATTGTTCTAAGTAGTGATCAATTTTTCTAGGGTGACAATTGCAAACTTTGCGAGTTATGAAAATTGCAAATAAAGGTAAATGCACACCGGATGTGCCACGCCCACTTTAAAAATTTTAATTTGTCTGTGATAAGGTGTACATTGTTAAATAATGTTCAAAATTGCAAGTGTTTACAATCAGTAGATCATGAGATATTCGTAGTTAAAAATTTTTTTAGGGCAACGGTGACTGTCGGTAGATTATAGACACCGTGATTTTACGCACAGTTACTATAGAAGTTTGTACAAAATTTTCAATCTTTAAAACGCGCAATTTTGATCAAAATATCAAGTGTGATATATCACCAAAAAGGAGATTTCATGCATTCAAAGAATATATAAGAATTTTTGTCGTATGTTAATGAGGTCACGTGACAGAGCTCTTCAAAGTTAAAAATCGTGATTCTCCAATGTAGAACCGGAAGTTAACGATGCACAACAAAAGTGAGGATATCATCGTAAGAGGCAACACCTTTTGTTCAGGTCACAAGGTCACCAAAGGTCAAAGTCACTAGATATGAGCCTTAATAGTTTTGACAATTAATGAAAACATAAAACCGGAAATAAAAAAAATACGAATCCAAAATTCAAAAATCGGCTTCGTAAGTTTTGTTAGCAATCGATTGCAGATTCTTCAGACACCAAAATCACACAAATCAGATTTACACCTGAACCTTAATATCGATTTTTACAAAAATTGGTCACATTAAGATGGCGTCTAACACGTTACTTCCGGTTCAAATATTTTCATTCTAAAATTGTTATAATTTTAACTAATTGCAAAAATATTTTTTCAAATACCTACAAAATTCCGGAAGTTGACATTTAAAGTTTAGAGGCGAATGATGTCAAAACCGGAAGTGATATCGAAATTTTGAAAATAAATTTTTGTGAGGAATCAAAATGCTTCTCTACTATTAAATTTTCAGACCGATTAAAATAAAATTGTAGAAGTTGAAAAAAAAACGCTAAAATTAAAACAAAAAAAGTCAGCGACAAAAGTCAAAATCTTAAATTTTATAAAGTGCTGTCTTTTAGTCATTGGTTTAAAGTAATGAACATTACAAAAATTACGGTCAAAATAGATGCAGAATCAGAGCAGTAATTCGAAATACGTAAGGAATGGTTAACGTCATACGTCATTTCCAGTTGGAAGAAAATGCGTCATTTTACATTTAAACAGTAGCGACACACGGTATAAGAAATAATAGTTTCAGACAATGTGTGACATGTGCAGTTTTGGCTGGGGAGCTTAACCAGAAGTAAACAAAAAAAAAAAAATAGTCAGTTGCAAAACAATGCAGTGCGTTCAAAGAACGCACTGCTTATCAGGACTCAAATATTTTTCAGTTTATAATTCAATAAGAAATGTCAATGAAAAGAACAACCAATTGAAAATTTCAATAGACAATAGGAAAGCATTTAAATTATTAACATTAACACCAGGAAGTTATGAGTATGTTTCTATCAACGATTTTATATCACAAAGGAAAACCCAATGTTGAATTCGAAGGTAATTTAAATCTGAACAAAATAGAACTAGTTTTAAAAGACAACCATGAAGTAGATTTCGATGTGGAAAACTCAATAAATGAATTATTAGGTTTTGAAAAGAAATTGTATAGCAAATCTACACTTGCTCCTAAAAAAGCAAATATTGAGAACGACATCGATATCATCAACAGTCATTGCAATTTGGTTGATGGAGGCTTTCTCAATAAAGACAAACAACAAATTAATTTCAGTACTCCTATGTTTACAGTTCCAATTGGGTATAAAATAGTAGAAAAACCATTTCAAACAACATATCTACCAATTAATTCCACAGGAACCAAAGAAATCAATTTAGATGTAAAAGACGAAAGTGGAAGATATTTAGACTTTGGTGAAGAAGAGATATGTATTCAATTAAACGTTTCTTCATTTTCTTCCAAAAGTATGTAATCGTAATCGTCGAATTTATAATTTTCATCCATGTTAATTTCATTTTTATCATTATAGGGATACATTATTCCGTATTTGTTTGGTGGTTTTCTTTTAATCAAATTCAAATTATGCTTGAACACTTTCTTTTGTTTATCTTTCGGAATTACAACACCGTCTTTTTTCCAAGGTTTATCGAATTCGTTTTAAATGCCTTCTCCACTCGCTAATTTAAGATAATCGTCCACAGTCAACTTAGTTTTTGTATATCATTTAAAAGTTTTCTTTTCCATTAATTCTCCGTTAGAAATTAGAACAATATTCTATTTTACTTTCGGAGCCAAATATAAACCAAATATTATACCTCCATCTCCATAAATATTCTTACCCTTTCCATATTCCGTTTCAGAAGTCAAACCAAAGCTTTTTCCAATTTATTCCAATTTTTGTCTGATATGTATAAGCTATCCGTATCAGTATAGTATATTTCGGGTTTGACAAATCCATCAATAACGTGAATGAAATTATTCATTATTTGTTTGCTATGTGCTAAGATGAATGATCCTAGATGACACGGAGTTAATTTCGTTGTTTTTGTTGGTTCAATAATTTCGGGTTTGTTCCTTTTCTTTTTCCATTATGTATTAATAATCATTTAATTGTTCAAAACTAATTATATTTAAATCAAAATTTGCTTTAAGAGTTTCTTCAGACTATAAATGAAATTCTGTATTAATATCTTTCAGGACAGTTTTACCGTAAATAACATTTCCCAATACTTTCATGCAATTGTTACATTCAGTATTACCCTGTTGTTTGTATTCATTTCTTTTTTTCTTTAAAGTAAAAATATAGTCTTTAAAAGGAGGTGTTAGTAGTATTTGACCTTTCAATATATTCGCAAAGGGATTCCCCATTCCATTTCATTCCATGGGGAAAGTGCGAAACATATTGAAAGGTCCCAAAAAACACTTAAACACCCTACATTCCATAAATTCCTACACCAAAAAGACCTACTCACCCTACATTCCACCAATTCACACCCCAAAAAAGAACCTATTCACCCTACATTCCATTTTTAAATTAAGTTTTAACGAAAAAAGCATATTAAAAATACCCTTATACAAAATGACTTCCCTGTTTCGCTTAACATCCGGTTATTAATAATGTTATTTTTAATTTAGAAACTTCTGTAAGAAAGATAACTCTTGTTTTGGAAAAAAACAGACCACAATTTCTTCGTTAAATCAATTCATTTAGAAATAGGATGAGTTTAATTCTAAAACACGAACAACACAAATTCGAAGATTATTCGGGCGACGGTATCTTTTCATCGATATTTTCCCTAGGTTCAAAAATAATTCCAAAAGTAGATAGCTTTGTTTCAAACAACAAATCCCTCATTTCATCCGAAGCTAAAGCTATAGGATCTGTCGCGGAAGCGGGAAAGAGTATAAGCGACGCAGTGAAAAAGTCTGATGAGTTGAAAGAATTGAAGTTGAAACTAATACGAAAACTGCGAAACAGGAGAAGAAGGGAAAGT